AACAATTAAAATTCAACCAATGACGTGACGTTGATTTCATTTCGGGGAACGAACAATAAAATTACAAATATTCCTTTAGATTCTGAAACGCCCTGCTAATGTATTATAATGCAATCAACTATATTTTTGGAACTTTAGTACCTACGTTACAATATTGATCATTGATGGCAGGTATCTTGGATTAATTTGCACTTCTCATGAGTGCAAATTGGAACCATATTTTCTTTAACGGTAGAATCATCAAAATTGGCAATAATCATAATAATATACCTCTGGGGAAACAATATTTTATATATATAACCGTTTCACAGATGATATCGGATATGTTCCTTATGTCGTAACTACAATACCCTTCCCTTTTCACGAATGTGACCTACCGAATTAGACTATTTACCGGATTTGTAATAACATAAGCAACACGACGGGTGCCACATGTGGAGCAGGATCTGCTTACCCTTCCGGAGCACCTGAGATCACCCCCAGTTTTTGGTTGGGTTCGTGTTGCTTAGTCTTTAGTTTTCTATGTTGTTTCATCTGTACTATTATTTGTCTATTTGTCTTTTTATTTTTGGCCATGGCGTTGTCAGTTTGTTTTCGATCTATGAGTTTGACTGTCCCTCTGGTATCTTTCGTCCCTCTGTTAGTGAGTGTGCACATGTTGAATGATTGATAATCGCAGAGACATAATATTTCTATATTCTTATTATGTTTACTAAACTTGAAACGAAATAAAACCCAAAAATTTAACAAATGAATATGTATTTTGTTCCCGGTTAAGACGTCGTTTGCGCTTTTTGTCGGATTCATTTATAGCGTAAAAATGGTAAATGTGACAGAATTTGAATTAATACGTTCTCATCTAAAATTAAAAATTCTCATTCACGGTCATTTGTCATAATTCGTACTTAAATAGGCCGAATTGTTGCTCTTAAGACAAAGGTATGCAAAAACGAGAAAAATAAAGGAATGCATGTGTTTTTTATCAAACACTTGAATCTGGCATATTGAAAACCTGGTGTATGCTGAACTAAGTTTTAATAAATTAACTTGGATTTCTCAGGGCTGTTGGTCTGCATACGAACCTGGTGTATTGTATTTCTCAGATCTTTAAGTCAGTATACGAACCTGGTGTATGCTGAAGTTTGCATTTTATTTATACACTGCATTTCTCAGGTATGTATGCCTGCACAGGAACATGGTGCACGCAGAACCTTCAATTTTTCTCATATATTGTATTTCTCAGATCTGTTTGGCTGCATACATGTATGAATCTGGTGTATGCAGAATGGTATGACATCAAATATTGTTTGTCGCAGGTATGTATGCTTGCATACGAACCTGGGTGTTTGCAGAATCTTCAATGTAGTGCATACGAATCAGGGATGCATACAGACATGGTGTTGCAGAAATCCTTTTCTTCAGTGGTTGTGTTAACCACCGATTTCGAGTTTTTGAAAACTACAAGTCTACGACAGACCTCTATTATTTCTCCCGACTGGTAAACAGAAATGTTTTAATTTGCAAAGCAAACCGGCAAATTAATTTCTGTTGTAAATCTGAAATGAAAACCGATTCTAAAGTTCGACGACTATGACCATCTTATCAACATGCAAGTTATCTGTATTGTTTTGTTTTTTTTTGGAAATAAAAATCACGGAAAAAGAGGCGATGAAAAATGTGTACTTCTTGTTCAAGTTGTTGACAAAATTTTAAATGATATCAGGGACCTTGTGATGTAAGGCGGAGGTAATCTCAGACAGAACAACAAGGGCTTTGAATTACACGAGTTACTTTTACCAATTGATACACTTTATTGCAATCGATTACAAATCAAAAGATTTTTTTCATACTTTGTATCGGTAATTAATAAAAAGTTAAAGAATACAAAACTAAACAAATGGACTATTTATCTGCGTTGAATGACCATTAATCACACCTTATGTCACGCGCTCTCATATGACGTCATTTCTGAATGAGAACATGGCGACTGATGATGGATTTCCCGTCAAGGAGAAGAACATAGACGATTCATTGAAAAGTACGCTGTATCTAGATTTGAATATATACCAGAAGTAAAACACTAAATGGAAGTAAAGGACAAGGTACAATAAGCTATTGCAACTGGCCCCCTATTTTCGTTGAAATTAGAATGAATAGAATCAAAGAAACATGATTATTTTTAAAAAGTATAACATCTGATCTTAAAAAAAATCAATGCAACTTTCTTTTTTTTAGTTTGTGAAAATTATCAAATACCATAAGTAAACCTAGCTGTTTTTGTTTTTTTTTCGATCAAACATATGACGAATTCAGCCATAGATGTTAGTCCAAATAATTAATAATTTATGACGTCTTGAAAGGCTTTAATTTTTTGCTGTAACGGTTTCAAGACGTCATAATTATTTAGATTATAACAGAAGCAGTGGTGGATCCAGGGGGTGTTCTGGGGGTTGGAGTCGCCCTTTTTGTTTGAAAAATAATGTTTTTATATCGGACATATGGTTGGAACCTTTACCCCTTTTTTATGACTTGCATGTGTTAGAACCCCCCTTCCCCCAATTTTAAAAATGGCCTAAATCAACGCCTGAGAAGTATTTATATTGATTATGCTCGGACACTGCACACTTCACGATCAACCACAAGCCTAGCTGCGAAACTGTAGCTCTTATAGTTATGGTCCTTCTTATATGTTTTGAAAAGTTGCGGACCATATCAAGCGCTATCGTTCCGCAGCTACCACAACCCCTAGACCCAAACAAAAGTTTTCAAATTGTGTGAGTCAGGCCTTTGACTGCAACAGATTATCGTGGAGCTGATCAGTTTGTTTTTTCAAGACAAGATGCTTGGCCGCTTCATTCTACACCACCGGTGTCGAAAATTGCCTTTCTTATTAGATTTTCCTATTATCTTTTTATTCTTTTTGTTATTCACTATTCTTTTGTAACTATTTGCTGAAAGCATTTCGAGAAAAAAAAATGAATGGGAAATACGATTAGGTGTATGCGCGGTGAAGTCCCCCATTTTTTTTTTTAAATTAGAAAATCCAGATCCTTCAAAATGCATGACCACTGCCGTTCAGTTAACACATTCAGCTCTTGTTCTTTAAAACAATTATTATGGAAACAACTGTCCCAGATTAGTGGGGGTTTGAGCATCACAAACATGTTTAACCAAGCCAAATTCTTTATGTGCCTGTACCAATTCAGGAGCCTGTAGATTAGTGGGTGTCGTTGGTTCATGTCTGTGGTATTTGTTTTTCGTAAATTGTTTCGTCGTTTTCTCACATTTGTTTGTGTCAGGGCCTTTTATATCCGACTATACGGTATGGGTTTTTTTTTCATTGTTGAAGGCCGTACGGTTGCCTGTAATTGCTTACATCCATTTCATTTTGATTTTGGTGAATAGTTGTCTCATTGGCAATCATACCACATCTCCTCATCTTTACAAACTTTAACAGGCTTCCTATAAACTGACTGATAAATGCAAAAATAAATAATAATTCAGGTCTGCATACACCAAGTTTGTATGCAGGCATACAGACTAAGACATGCCATTTATTATCTCAATTAAAAGTTCAACATACACTAGATATGTATGCATGCATAGTCATAAGATATGTAAATTTATTAGCTAGATGAGATTTCAACATACACCAGGTCCGTATGCAGGAATGAAGACCTGACAAATACAAGTAAGAGAAAGAGACAAAATATTGAATCTAGCATACTATATGCTGAAACATCTGGAATAACGATGGGTAAATGCTATGCTATATATATATATTGCAAGTATGGCATAAAAGAGGGGTGAAAGATACCAGAGGAACATTCAAACTCATAAATCGAAAATAAACTGACAACGCCATACAAGTATAATATAAATGCAGAATTAGTAATTTATGATGGTTTTATTGCCTCAACTTTTTCCTGATCGTTGAAATAGTTCATTCTAGCATCGTGTGAAAAAGAGTAATGCTAAAATGATGTGGTTTTGCATTTCATTAACAAAAAAGGACCCAAAATCTTGCAAAAAAAATGACAGGCAAATATGTATAAATGCTATATAGAGACTTTTTAACGCGAAATATGACAATCAAGCCAAAAGATGTAGCTTTTTCACACAAAAATGAGTTTAGTGGCATATGAGAATTTCTAATTTTAAATGAGAACGTATTAATTGCGTACCAACAAAAAGATTTTGGGGCACGTAAAGGTGGTCAGATTGAAAGATGTTCAAAAAGATGCCGCATGACTGAAATGAAAATCGTTATATGAGTTTTTAACGGTTGACATGTTCACTGATCTTCATTAAATCAAGATCTAGCTAAACTATGAATACCTGTATTACGCAAGGTTACTTAGACTCTATAAAAAAAAAAACTGAATCTAAATATGATATAAGGATTATTCTTCAATTCTATTTAATTTTTTACGTCCTGAATATGTATATTATCCTAGGTCAACTAAGTACTGATCCTCAGTGTACCTTTATAAATATGTTTCTTTTTTTATTATCCTGCTCCCTTGATTACAAGCATTTCTGCTATATTCATATGCTTGTGCATAAGGGCAATACCTAGAGGAGATACCCCATCGTCTGTTAATTTGTTAATGTCTGCCTTATTGTAAAGTAATATCTGTACAATCTTCAAATGGTTTTTCTCACAAGCAATAAACAAAGGAGATACTCCAGCATTTGTACACTTATGAATGTCTGCCTTGTAATCCAGTAGTACCTTAAGTACCTCTATATGATTCATCAGACACGCAATAAACAATGGAGATGCTCCATCATTCCTACACTTTTTAATGTCTGCCTGTTGGTCCAGCAATGCCTTTACTATCTCGATATTATTTTCCTGGCAAGCCACATACAAAGAAGATGTTCCGTCCTCTGTACACTTTTCAATGTCTGCCCGGTTGTCGAGTAAAACGGCAACTATGTCTATATTATTTTTCTGACAGGCAATAAATAACGGAGTCACACCATCATTCGTACACTTATTAATGTCTGCCTTGCTATCAAGCAAAAACTCAACTATTTCAATATAATTATTACGACAAGCTATGTACAAAGAAGAGAGTCCATCATGCGTACACTTATTTATCTCTACTTTGTTTTTCAACAAAAGATTTACTACTCTTTATTATTACGTTCACAAGCGACAAGCAAAGGAGATAATTCATTATCTGCACAATTATTAATGTCTGCCTTGTTGTCAATCAATAACTTTACTATATCTATATGATTAATCTGACACGCCATTAGCAAAGGAAATATTCCACCATCTTTACACTTATTAATGTCTGCCTTGTTGTCCAGTAATAACTTTACTACATCTTTGTGATTTCTTTGACAAGCCATTAATAAAGGGGATACTCCATTTTGATCACACTTATTTATATCTGCCTTCTTTTCCATTAATAATTTTACTAATTCCGTGTGTCCTTCTTGTCCTGATACAAACAAAGGACTCACACCAAAACTATTACACTGGTTAACGTCAACACCATGATAAATACACCACTGAATCAAAGGGAGATAATTATTATGACAACACTGCAGGAGTGCAGTGTCTTTGAAATTAAAATCGCAGATCCTCGCTAATTTTCTCTGCAGTGTAATATCAAGCATATTTAAAAAACAAAGGAATTTCTTTCTAAAATCTGGTATCTTCATATTGATGTTATTAAACACTACTTGTACTCGACCTATTTTCCAGTCATATATCATTCTGTTAAGGTACAACTGATGGAGTTCAGGTGGTAAAACAATAGTAAACTCAGCCATTTTATCATTTCTTTCAAATAAGAATCTCTGCCTAAGAAAAACATCGTCTGCATTCCTGATCAAACACTCGGTCATTGTTTGTCCAAAATAAAACGCCACAAAGTCAAATATTTTATCATGTAAAGTTTTGAATACGCCATGTTCTTTCTTAATGAACGTATGTTCAAGTGACTTTAGTTCATCCAATAACATAAGACGTGATGTACCTCTGGCCAGTCTGCAGGCTTCACATGTTTTCTCTATAGTCGTTCTTGTTTGTATTTCTATCTCACCCATTAGCAATTTCTCCTCCAGTTCATTGTTAAACATTACACACAGAGCTAACGCACAATATTTCCCAAAATGTCTTTTTGTGTGCAACTTGTCAATCTCAGCTTCATATACTGAGAATGGATTCTGGAAAAAATCTGTAATATTGAGTTCAGAATTAACATAATACAAATTACAGAGCAGTGGAAAACAATCATATAAATCATAGTACTGTACAATCTCTGATGCTTCTGTTTCAAGATATAGTTCTGCAATTGACTTTTTCTCTTTTTGTGATAAACACAAATCTTCCAACAACAGGTTACATACACATGTTCTGAAAATTAATAAAGATTTGAATTGTTCATCTTGATACACTTGTAATCGACATGCAACAAATATTTTTGTGAGTTTATTTTCGATAAGTATTTCTATCCGTTCCATGACGGATTCCCAACTGTCAAGGTCAGATTGGTTCATAGAATAAGTTCCACAAAAATCATCAATAACAAATAAAGTTTTTTCATTTGGATTGTAAAACTTCAAAATGTCTTGTGGACTGGTAACAGGTAGAATATCATATCCTATTCCTTTCATTTGCAATGCCACGTGTCGTAAAATGGCTGTCTTTCCTACTCCAGAACTAGCAGTTATAGTTACACATTTGTTTTCCTGTACACATTTAAAAACATGCTTGGCAGCTCTGGTTGCAACAAATTTTGTATCATTTATCTTCCATGCTTCCAAAATCAAATCTATTTGAACTGAAATATACGAATATAAATAATATAGCTATGTTGTGTATCATCTCACAAATATGTTGTATATATACATGCCTTGCTGGTTATAGTCTGTTTGTATCAAATACCCAATATGGTGGCAACATCATCGTTTCTGGTGTAAGTTTTGTCTATCTTATCATGATTCACCACTAGAAACCCTTGTGTCTTTCTAGTATCACTCAGCAAATGATACACCGTCAAAATGTATCAATTGCACGTGCACTTATTTCAAATAGATATTTAATTTTCATTGATAAGATTGTTGTGATAAAACTTTAAAACTAGTACAGAGAATACTTATCATTATTGTAAAAAAAAGACAAATGTGATAACTTTGTTTGCTTGTTTTGTCAGAGATGTCCAGTTGATTTCAAAGAGAAACATTTTGTGCATTTATGGCTTAATACATACAAGTTGACCTCATCATCGCCCATATCTTTTATTGTCCATAAGTAGTTAACAGCTGAATAACATTGGTCTTCCTAAGGCCCGGTACCCATATTTGTTGGAAGTGTAATATCGTATTATGCATGCACATATTTCTATTCATTTTGCCTGTTAAAAGTTATCTGTGCGGGATTGATAAAATCGGTAAAACAATTTACTTTAATAATTGAAATAGATTTAGCCTGTGTTTTGAAAATGTAATTTTTGCACGACTGTTTGTTCGTGTTGTAAAAAGGCTTTGGATATTGATGAATGGCTCATGTGTATCACGGAAAAGTATAATTTGAAAGATATAGTTAAAAGATTATTTGATAGGATTGAAGAACATTACATTAAGGCCTACATAGCTCTAGAATGTTTAAGGTCATCTAATTAAGGGTTAAAAGTTAAAATCACAAAAATACTGAACTCCGAGGAAAATTCAAAAAGGAAAGTCCCTAATCAAATGGCAAAATCAAAAGCTCAAACACATCAAACGAATGGATAACAACTGTCATATTCCTGACTTGGTACAGGCATTTTCTTATGTAGAAAATGGTGGATTGAACCTGGTTTTATAGCTAGCTAAACCCCTCACTTGTATGACAGTCGCATCAAATTCCATTATATTGACAATGATGCGTGAAAAAAACAAACAGACACAATAGGTAAAAATGTCAAAAATAGGGGTACAGCAGTCAACATTGTGTTATCATCTTAATCACCATAAAAACAAACAAATGTAACAAAGAAGCTAAGGTATTGTAATATATGAATATTTTCTGACAGTCTGATATATGCCAATGTACATCAGAATGTGATATTCCTTTTTTATAAGACCTATACAGCTACAGACAAACTCCAAAACTTATCTATGTATCCTTGAAATAATTAAATAAAATTTTCAAATGTTTTATGATAACGAAATCACTGGCTAAATTAATAATTGTACAGTTATATAAAGATTAGAATGTCACTTCAAGAATGGGCAAACGAGTGATAAACAACTCGTATAATAAGTAAACCACAAAAAGGTTCTCTTAAAGACAGATGTATAGGAGAGTGTATATTGGCGGAGGTCTTTAGGTGCCGAGTATGGACTTTCTTTTTGCTATATTTTTAAGAATGTGTTGGATTTTTTAATGAGTATATCCACAATCTGCTTTACCTCAAAGATTATATTGTTAACTTAAATGGAGAAGCTAAAAGGAGGGTCTCACAAAGGATTGGTAAATCCAAATTTCATTTGATAAACTGTTGACCTATCACATTGTTGTGTGTAGATTATACCATTGCTAAATTACTTCTAACAAATAGACCAAAAGCTGGTGGCAAATGTAAATAATCAGAAAAACAAATAAACAAAGGTTTAGTTCAATGTAAACATAAGGGTGCGTATACTAATAATTAAACAGATGGAAGATGGTGATATCACTGGATTATCACTTTGAGTTTATTTTGGAAAAAATGTATTTACGATAAATACCAGTGTAAATGTAAGAATTTGTTTCCAAAAAATCTCGGGGAAGCATGATGCTTCCAAAGCATTTTTTGTTTGTTTGTTTGTTTTGCATTTATCGTCATATAAAATGCTCAAACCTATACCATTGAAACCCCTTAGGATGTATAAAATTTTCTGTTTTTGTTTCTTAAACAATTTATGCTATTAATCTGTCAGTACTGGCGCAATGACCACTGAGTTGGTGATAGTAGAGTCTCCTGCTTTACAAACAGTACTCGTTAGTCACATTTTCTTTCAGTCGAAAATGGATATCAACCACAATAAGTAAATATAGGCATTAGACGACTAATAGGAGAAATATGTGGTTTTTAGGGAAAAAATACTAAATACTAAAAGGATGAAAAACTGTTATTTATGGCTACATTTTTATAGTTTGGTGAAGACAGGACACTTGATCATACTAGTGTTTTATGTAGTCCCCTACTTATCATTAATCCTATAAAAGTAATTTTGAGGTAAAAAGTGTTATTTTTAGAGAAAAAAAACTCTGAAAACAGGAAATGAAGAAATCTCAATTGTTATTGATTAGAATGTTTGAAATGTGATCTTAATAGAAAATAGAACATACCATTTTATGTTAAAATTGTGAAGTCCTATGATTTTTAAGAGCCAATCCGCCAGAAAATCATGCAATATTCAGAAAATCGTCCAAATCAACAATCACAACTTGACAAATTCTGATACATCATCTTAATCCTTGAATAAAATAAAAGAATTTTACCACTTAATTTTTCCCAAAATCGTATCTATTTTTAGGAACAGCCTCATTTGCATAATGCTGTAAATTCATAATGAAACCATGGAAAACTCCAACCTTTTTATGCCTTTTAAGAATGACCAAGAAGCATATTAAATGAAGTAGTTGAGTTTTTAGAGTAAATGTCAGCTGGAACCCATCCATTTTACTATGTTATAATCCATACAAATGAAAGTTCAAACGATTTGCCACATTGCCAGGATCCCGGACATAAAGATGGGTTTTTTCATACATGAATTTATATAAATTTCATTTGCTTAAATCTTGTAAGACCTGTTCCCAATATGTATGTAACTTATATCAGTTTTAACCATTGAGTATGCTTTATATACTAACACAACATTAAGCTTAACAAATGATAATTAGATGTACATTTGTGCCTTGGAAGAATGGTGATTTTAGTCCCAAATTTACACTTTTTTATTTTATTTGAATTAAATTCTAAACACAATTGGAAATAAAATGGAATATAAAATCATTTAAAAGAGTAAAATCAATTTGATAAAAAGTCTAACTAAGACATTTATGTACTGCAAGTGAAAAAATCAATAAATTTTCTGAAACTAGTGAGTCCTTCTTATGCTCTTCCATCGACTTATCTCCCTTGGGTAAGATCTCAAACATGTCAGCTTCCAGTGATGGTTTGGCAGACTACAAAATGCACGTCTTCAGTGAAGTTTGTGACTTTTTTCACTCTTTGATGAGCATATGGGCTATCCCAGCATTATACATCCACATATAACAAACTATTTAAATATCTGAATGCACTAAAGGCCAAAAAAGCATGTGCAAAAAGAATAATTACTGCCAAGAAATTTGACAATTACCAGAAAATAATCTAGTGAATAAATATTGTGGGAAAACAAGTCAAGAACAACACAAAGTGTTTAAGATAACAACGAGCAAAACATAACAATATTCTAACTCATTCTTAGTAACAGTGATCGAGTGGAACACACTGTATATGCGCGCACCGAGCATTGAGAGCATCAAAACTGCTCGGGCGCACCGTCAATAAATCGACAACACTCTCTCTATCGTTGCTTTAAAACCAGTATTGGTATCCACAACATATTCATACAGATACAGACTACCATTCATCTCAGACCTCTGGAAATAATAGTACTAAAAACTATGGTGGTGAATTTCCTCCAGGAATCCTTATTCTATATAAGACTAGGAGTGGTATATTTTCACATGGTTGTTACATCATCTTGTCTTGGAATATGCCCGAAGTACAGTGACTTTTATGGAATTCATTCAAACAAGATGTCAGAATCCCGACCAACCCTCTTCCAGCAAAGCTTAGACTGAAAGAGGATCTTCACACTTCATAACGGGCTGTATACAAGACAAGTTATTCCAGTAGGATCAGGTACAAATCTTACAATCAATTTTCATTTGTTCCTTATATACAATCAGAAATTAGGGGACCAACATTTGATACTCTAGATTAAAAGGTGAGGGGTTTGAAGGGGCATGTGGCTATTCATTACACCTGTTTCTGAGACATCTTATTTATTTCCTATGACAAAGTGCAAACAAATAATATCACTTTTATATTCATTTTTCTGTCTTGTGCAGGGTAAAGGGACGACTATTTGATTCTGGGAGGGGGAGTAGAATAGTCAAAATCTTTATATCCTTGCCAGCTAATGACAGAATATTCATTTTCAAGCTTAACCAGGGTACAATATTCATTTTCTGCTTTAAATAAAAAGACAAAATAGGTTTTAATTCAACTTTTAGACCAGAATAATCAACATGTTCAACATTTAGCAGGACAAGATTTTATTCCCATCCTCTAATACTTTCTGTTCTTACTGGGCCAGGATAATCTTGTTCAAAATACGTTAAAGTCACATGTGAATCAGGGACCTTGCAAAAATTGTAGTGATATATTACTTTAAAATATTGCTTCAGAATGTACAAAAAAATGTACAGCACATGAATTTAGCAATCATTGAATACAAAACTACTATGCATTTTTTGAATTTTCTCCCTCAGCTTTTGATAATTCTACAATATACATACATGTTAGATTCCATAATCAAAGACACAAAGGTTATTCATTTCTTTATCTACTAAAAAGCGTTTTATCTTGTGGAAAAGCTCAATACAAATACATACAACATAACATTATACAACTTTATCCAGTGAATAATCTTTTATAATGAACAACTGGGCCATGAAGACTAAAAAAATCAAAAGCATTGCAAACTTTTGTATAGTTATTCTATTTTAGGACCCTACATTTTGTACATGTACATGTATGTAGATTAACCCTTTTTTAGAAGAAACCAATACATTTAAACTACATGTACTGTAATGCTACACTACCCTACATTTCCTGCTTTATTGACTTTGCTTTGACTTTAATATGTCTTATATACTTTATTTCATATAATACAAATTGAAGAATTATTTTATAGTTTTACACTTCTTTATTTGTAGAGCTATGCAAGCAATGCTCAATGAAAATGGACATTTTTGTAAAAGTGACAATAGCCAGGTCAAACTAAATATATGTATAGAAGAAGATATTGGTAAGATATTTTCAACTCATTAATTTAACTGTTTGTTTAATATGGTAATCATACAAAGTATAAGTATATGTAATCACTTATATAATTAAATTTCATGATCATGACATTTGTTCCTGAAAACAATATTTAATAATAATTCATCCTGTCTTTCATTCTTTGTTCTTTGTATTAAATAATTTAATAGAAAATTGCACGATGAAGAAGTTAAAACTTTTTGTGACAAATTTTGTCAGGGAAAACCAAATAGGAATTAAGAAATGTCATTAAATTGTATTTAATAAAGCTCAGTTTTACTAATTATGGGCGGCTCCAATAGTTTCCATGCAATATCTAATGAACTGTTCATACATTCCATTTCAAATATAAAAGGGGGAGCTTTTATTGGTACTTTGAAGATATTTCATCCGTCAGATTAATTGAATGGTTGTTGGTTACTAAATGTCCAATGGCAAATATTTCATGCATGTTTAGGAAAAGAACAAACTAAAATGAATACATTATTGGGGTTCTTTAAATATATGCTAAATCTAACCATGTATTTAGATTTTAGATGTTGGGCCCCATTTTAAATTGGCCCACATTGATGTCCAAATGGTCCAAAATAAAACTGAATACATTATTGGGGTTCTTTAATATGCTAAATCTAACCATGTATTTTTGTACTCTGAATTCCTGTTTCATTTCTTAATTTCTATAAGATGGAAATGAAAGAAGAGAGTTGAAATAAATTTTAAGAAGCATTATTTTAACTATTCAGTAAGGGAAAGTATGATTAGGCCAGTTGCAAAAGGTAACATTTATAGATTTCTGAATATCTCTTGACTTTTCCATACCAGTACAGATGTGTTTTGGCTAATGTAATGACATGCACATACGGGATTTTCATTAAAATTGGAAATTATGTGAGACTTGTACTGTACATTACACATACCAAAAATTTTGCAAATCTGCAGGTAAATTTATTTTTAATGTGAAAAAATGAAAAAAAAACTTTATAAAGAAATGATAGGGAAATTACTTGTGGTCTGTAGCCTAAGTTAGTCTAGATTTTTTCATCCATAACATTGTCTTATGAGGATTGGTCTAATTTATGATCGATTTCTTTTAATACCATTTGAATGCAGGATTTTTTTGGTCTTGATGTTCATAAAGGCTTATGACTGGTCTCAGGTGTTTTGCCTTACCTCTTATGTTCCATGGTACTGTTGACTGTTCCAGAATTTTTGTTCGCAACTTTTCACATCGATCAAGCATGTTTTTACCACCTAGTCTTCCAACAGCCTGCAATCATACAAGTTGTGCGTTTCTCAATTCATTCATTCAAATATAGCATCATTAACTTAAACACTTTTGAAGTTAAGTACAAAATGTTATTCTCCGTACAATTCGACAAATCTTCTTTTTTAATTATGTCCAAATCATTTTTTTTTCATAATCGATCATCATAACATTAAAAGAATTTACAAATTGTTCAAAACTAACAGTCTGGATGGTTTTGTCTATTACAACTTCTGTGATGAAATAACGAGTTCAAATAATATTTCAAAACAAAATATCATTCGAACTCAAAATGAGAGTGAATGATATTTCTTTTAGGGTCTCTACTTTGGATTTATGTCATCGATGGTATCACCATGTAACAATGGGAATTCTAATGACACAAACTATATATCGTCAACCAGTATAACCAAAGTATATTTACTTCTAGCGCAAATGCATATGATACACTCAATTGGCTGGTCCGTGTTACACATTATTAAACGACCAGGTAAACTAAAATAAAACGTTTTACGTAGGCCAAGCTTCAATCATAACACGGCTATCTCTATTCAAATGCAAAATCAACAAATCAGGTACATGCAGTCATTATTTTAGTGTAAAATTTCATTTTACGAAAATTCTGCGAAATCATGTTATCGTCTTCGGCAACTAAAAAAGTTGACGTCATATGTATGCTTTCGGCGTCAAATGTAAACAACATGGGTTTTCAGTCTTCTTCTACTCATAAGAATGTTATAATATTAAATAAAAAGAACAATTTTAGTTGAATAATCTGAGTTTCTTTCTTATATATAATTGAATAATATAATATTACTGATATTATTATAATTGTAATTGTAAAACGGAACAGCCAAAAAAAATCATTGATTGTATAGAACTTTCACTGTTGACAAAACTAAGTATTCGTCATATTGAAATCGAAATGAATATATCTTTCCTTTCAAATTTGAAGATCTGCAAAACTTATATTTGCACCAGCATCTTTACTTTTGGTTGAGAGTTGTTCAGTTACTAAATCCCACTAAAAGTAAATAATAATTGACAACTATGTGCAGTCAGGTAACAGGGGTAACGTGTTGGATACCAAAATCATCTTTACGCTATACACTAGAAAGGAAAATACACTTCTAATGAAATGACGGGTTGAGCTTTTATTTTTTTTATTTTTTTTATTTTACATACCCCAATGACATCATTCCACGATGTGCTGAAAAATAAACTGCTTATAGTTCCGTCTTTATTGTGTGATATATGGTTCCTGTAGTACTTAATCCTTGCTAGATCAGCCGATGGTGTTGTGTCTGTTACTAATGGCAACTTATCGCAATGATTCAATTGTGTAAGATTTGTAAGCAATGTAATCATCAAAGTTACATCAAACATATTTGAATTTGGATCACCTGTAAATAATTTTAGAAGATATTAATAAACTGAAATTATTAACCCCGCTCTTTCTTCCGAAGATAAGATGACCTTACCTAGATTTGATTACTATGAAACAATTAATTCGTGTTGATACTTATTACGGATATGCTATTTTTAGACTTTGCAGCGATTAATTTTTTTTATCTTCTAATTCTCATATATTTCAAAAGATCCGAGTTTACATTTTCGCGATGATTTATATACGCCTTATTTTTCTACCAGCGATAATCGCAAAAATATGGAACTCGCAAAAATTAGTTTGTTTACAGTATAAGCTTAATGTCCTCTTAGTTGTTTCTCAAGTTTCCAAGTATTCATACACACATAACTTTCAAATGCGTTGGTTTTGGGCTTTTGTTTAAACGAGAATAATAATGGAAAACGCTTTGCAATCATCAAATTTAGGTGTTGTAATCGTCTGTAAACAGAATTATTCATGACAAGTGGACAAAGTATTGAACTTATGTCGTTTTTTTTACTATTGGTGGAGTAAATTTATATTTAAAAAGGTCTAGAACATGCAGATATAGATAGAATAATAAGAATGAAGATGATAGAAATTTGTAATCAATAAACTGCAAATAAAAAGAGATTTTTAGTCTAAAACAGTAAATCATTCATTTGCCTTTTTGCTGTGCCAAGTTCTAGATGTTTTTCCTATGCCTGGAGTTGGTTTCCTTGCATGCAATGTTAGAGGGGTATCTAGTCGATTGTTTTATTAGATTTACAAAATTTAAGACTGCCAACAAAACTAGATTATAAAAATCCTTATGTATCCCTAATGATTAATAATAGAAGACTTAATCATATGACCAATGTTTAAAAAACAACTGTTTCTTATATCTAAGTTTCAGGATACTGAGTTGTAATTGTTGAAGTATGAAGACATGTGTGTGCGTTACCCTCAAACATGCAGGTAAAATAAAATATGGCAGTAGTACCATCAAAAATTAAGTCAATAGAAATGCAATCTCAATTTGAAAATCATCTTTCTATACTCTTGTACCAAAATTTAATATTGATAGCAGTAGACATAATTTAAAAGTCTGGACAACTTATTTTAGCATGATGATGTAACTGCTTGATTTAAAGAACAAAAGACCGGATGGACATATACTGAATGACAAGGCATACATACTCGACTAAAATCAGTAACCATCAGAAAAGGGTTTAAAAAATATGTAAAAGGGCTGACTTGAAACGATATTTTCAATCTAAATCTATATACATGTACAAGTTATGAACATGTGGGGTATTGTTCGTATTTTTATCTTTACCTTTTTGTAATTGTGGGGATCTAATTGTCCATGATACTTAAGGTATAGCACTCATATCAGCAGTCAGAGCGGTTAATCAACAAACAATTAAAGGAATGTTTGGTTATTGGGTATTTGTCTCTTTAAATATTTTTGTAATCGTCTTTGGTGGTTTACTACTTTTTCAAACAAAATATTTCTAGTTAAAAAATAATAAAACGTTACCTACCATCAAATGGAAACAAAAGATCCCACTGTGATTGGTTGATTATTCTTTTCCTTTGAAGATTTTTTAATTTGTTGTAATTTTTCTTTATAGATGTCTTTAGGCAAGATGGATCAAGTTCACTGTCAAACAATTTCCGTACTGCACGAGGGGAGATCCCAGACAACAACAAACTCAACCTGACATAGTTTTCTTCTTCCTGTGATATGGTTGTCATTTTTGTGTCACTCACAAATAAAAAAATCTTCCTATAAGAAAAGACACAACAGCATTTTATTGAGAGTACACAAATTTAGATAAAAAGAAAACAGAAAATTATCAATACAACTTCTAATGAATGGACACTGGGTGTACTGATCAGGTAGTCATTTCCACATGCAATCATCATTCGCCACGCTATTCAACACACGGTCGTAATATCACAACTAGGTATAAGACAAATTCGGTATTTTTTCAGGCTTGACCACAGTTCTAGGTTTTAAAGATATAATGCATAAGAGAATTGATCAATGTCACATTTGCCTTATTAGTTGTTAAAGGTCAACAATATCGTGTTTCTGGACGTAAATCTATGTAGCGTTGATATCAGTCGAGTCAATACAACAAATGTGCTAATTAAATTTGTAAAAATGGATATTTCATTGTCCCGTAACGCATCCAGATATGCCATGTATGTCGCAGCAGACTTTTTGGTTATAGCAGTTTTCCAATTTGATACTCCAATAGAAATGGAAATTTGAAAATTTTGTAAGATGGTTTGTTTGTCTTTGTGAAGGTTCTGCTTCATGTGAGTAAACAACAAAGTTTGTCAATAGGGGTACATAATTATACCATAAGACTAATATCAACTCTTCGCCTATAAGTATTTATCCATTTAGCCATCAAATCAACAAAACATGTAGTTAAGATTCATTATGAACATTGATTAAAAAATATTAACTTGTTAATAATTTAATTCCCCTTCATAACTTGATTTCGTATGACAAACTTACAAAAAAAAAATCAGTTCTGTTCAGTCGCACAAATGACATCGAACGAACAAAATGAAATTTAGTCTGAAGGTTCTCTGACATGATTTTCAAACATGTCATTTAAAAACCAAATGTCATTCAAATCCAGCCTCAGTTGTAATGTCACGCAAAGGCAAGGGACACTATCTATAAAGCTACATATCAGATGATATAAGCACAAGCTACGATTACGTTGAAATCGTAACATTAACAAAAAGGTACTGTAACGTTGGACTCTTAATCTTAGAATGACAGGTTAGGCTAGAAACCGATTTATTACCAGCGTAACAACATTATGTGTGTCTACGTTAAAGTTGATATATTGCTACATTAATGCATTTCAATATATCCAATGGGTGTGTTTTGCGAGCTTGAACTGCTATTAAGTCCACACACGGTCAGATCGTCTGTAGTTATAGTTTTTCATTCATCAATAACTTTGTACAACTTTCGTGTGGAATTTTATGAAACTGGACAGAAGCTCCTAAAGGAGACAAATAACCAGTATCTAGAGAAAATGTTTTTTTTTTCTCCATTTTACTGATAAATATACTTTACTTTTTTTACTGTGTGGGGTTAAAGTTTTAAACATATCGGAGTCAAAGCGTTATAGAATTTTATGATACTTTGGCAGAGTTTTTTTTATGTTAATGCGATAATGTATGAAGCAATTTTTGGAAAATACCTTTTTTTTTCATTTTTAGTATTTTTCTGATAGAAGTCAGTTTGTTTACAATTAACATTTACAGACATTCTGGAAATACTTTTTAAAGGGATAAATTTTTAATCCTTCATAGATTGTTATTAAACTTGAACAGTCGCTTATCTTCAATTCAAAAAAACGATACAATCACATTTTTAGATGCTCATGTATAACGAAGTTATTCAATATCTGTTATCAAGTAAATGAATATTACTCTTTTATCTACATTTATATTTTCCAAACTTACGTTATTGTGTTCTTATTTAGATGACTTTTAAAGCTATCTTCATATAGTGTTTTGTTTTCTCCAAAAACTAGAAGGAAAACAAAGTATTTTTCTGTTCTGTTTTCAGTTAAAACGAAGAAAGGGTACGACTCTGATATCTTTTCTTTGTTGAAGCTTCTCTTGTATTTACTGTAAACCGTCTTATTTTTGCGAGCGATTTATTTTTCGACTTTCGCGAGGATGTAAAAAACGCGATAATCAATCGTCGCGAATTTGAACAAACCGAATATAATTGCTTCAAGAAAATGTGAAAATCGTAAAATGAAATCGCCTCGAAGTAGGAGAGAAGTTCGCTAAACGAGAAAGTAAGTTACCGCGAAAAAAAGTTGGTTTACAGTATTTGTCAATGTCGATTATATATAACGTTCCCTTTGGAAAAATTCCGACATCCTTTGACAATTTTAGGGTAAAAGATCGGGTAATGTGTTTTGAAAGTGTACGTTAATTAATTTGCTTATGTGGAAATCACTAGTTCCAATTCATAAAGACTAAAATCTTGCACTTTTTGATTATACGCTTTCTGAATTGGTTATTGTTTTTTCTTATTAAGAATATCTTAACGTGCTTAAATCGATATCGGCGTAGAATAACATATAAAATAAACATTTAATATTCAACCAAAATATACGCACTAGGGGCGATAACGATGCAATATGAGTATTACATTTTTGTAGCATTCCCAGAAGTGTGATTTATGAAATGAATTTCCTAGTCTGTATTAAAAATATAATAGATATGAAGTCATACAATCTAAATGGACTTGCTTTATTTTATTTAGTTGTGTTCATTTTGAAATAATTTACCATTTATGAAAAGTTGAATTATTAAAACCAATAAGATTGTGTACCCAACTCCTAGCTCTATCTGTCTTCGGCACAACTCTTAAGAATTATTTTAATAAATCCCCTTGAACTTCGTCTTTCGATTGGTTTCATTCGAGGGCCACTGATTAGTCCTGGGTTGATGAAACTGGCGTCCAACGAAGCAAATTACAAGACTGTTTTGTTTTATTAGTCTTTATTATGTAATATAGTTGCTTACTCATTCTTTTAACAATATTAGTTTAATGTAGTAGAATATAAGAAATTGTTATGACAACATGTAAAGCCTTTACAGCTCACTCGGCCAAAAGGGCCAAGTGAGCTTTTCTCATCACTTGGCGTCCGTCGTCTGTCGTCCGTCGTCGTCGTCCGTCGTTAACTTTTACAAAAATCTTCTCCTCTGAAACTACTAGGCCAAATTTGACCAAACTTGGTCATAATCATCATTTGGAAATCAAGTTTAAAAATTGTGTCCTATGACCCTGCCAACCAACCAAGATGGCCGCCATGGCTAAAAATATAACATAGGGGTCAAATGTAGATTTTGGCGAATATCTCTGAAACCAAAGCATTTAGAGCAAATCTCACATAGGGGTAAAATTGTTTATCAGGCCAAGATATATCTGCCCTGAAATTTTCAGACAAATCAGATAACCGGTTGCTGGGTTGCTACCCCTGAAATGGTAATTGTAAGGAAATTTTGCAGTTTTTGGTTGTTATCTTGATTATTCTTATAGATAGAGATAACCTGTTAACAGCAATAATGTTCAGCAAACTAAGATCTACAAGTAAGTCAACAACACAAAAATGGTCAATTGACCCCTTAAGGAGTTATTGTCCTTTATAGTAAATTTTTACAAATCTTCGTAAATTTTTGTATTCTTACAAAAATCTTCTCCTCTGAAACTACTGAGACAAATTCAACCAAACTTGATCACAATCATCACTAGGGCATCTAGTTTTAAAACAAATGTGACTGCTGACCCCGCCTTCCTACTAACATGGCCGACATAGCTAATAGTAGAACATAAGGGGCAAATGCAGTTTTTGGCTAAAACTCTGGACCTAAAGCATTTAGAGCAAATTTGACAATCTGTAAAAATGTTCATCAAACTTAGATCTATCTGTCCTAAAATTTTCAGCCGTTGATGCGTTGCTGTCCCTGAATTGGTAATTTTAAGGAAATTTTACAGTTTTAAGTTATTATCTTGAATATTATTATAGATAGAGATAAACTGTAAACAGCAATAATGTTTAGCAAAGTAAGATCTACAAATTAGTCAGCATGACCAAAATGATCAATTGACCCAATAAGGAGTTGTTGACCTTTAAAGTCAATTTTCAACAATTATTATAATTTTTTGTAATCTTTTACAAAAGTCTAACCCTATGAAACAACTGAGACAAATTTAACCTAATGTGGCCACAATCATCATAAGGGCATCTAGTTTTAAAACTGTGTTCGATGATCCTGCCAACATGGCAGACATGGCTAAAAATAGAACATAGGGGTAAAATGCAGTTTTTGGCTTATATCTCTTAAACTAAAGCAAAAGTATAACGGTTGCATTAATGTATGCATCAATTGTAAATAAAAATATCAGGTGGGCGACACTGGCTCCTTGGAGCCTCTAGTTATTTTATTAAGTAAATAAAACAATTAAACCAGTTTTGATTGACTATTTGATCAACAAAACAAAGCAATCGTTTTCACGATTTACTGGTCTGTTAATTTAAATGTAATATTTTATTTGAACCAGTCAAATAACAATTCAATCAATAGTGAAATTAGCTAAACAGTATGAGAAATTTCACAATTCATCTGCTAAGCAACAACCAAACAAATTACTAAAAATAATTAAAACAATTGAAATATAATATGTAGAAATGTAACAAGTAGAAATGTTCGGGCATTGAATATTTTTAGCAAATAAATCATTGAAACAGCAAAGTTCTCTGTATTCTAATGACATAACATAAAAATCCATGGGAAAAGTAGCATGAATAACGCATCATCATGCAAATTCTAGAACAAAATAAAAATTAAGGAGGATTTGTTTAAAGTAGTTATCAAAGGTACCAGGATTATAATTTAATACGCCAGACGCGCGTTTCGTCTACATAAGACTCATCAGTGACGCTCAGATCAAAATAGTTATAAAGCCAAACAAGTACAAAGTTGAAGAGCATTGGGGATCCAAAATTCCAAAACATTGTGCCAAATACGGCTATGGTAATCTATTCCTGGGATAAGAAAATCCTTAGTTTTTCGAAAAATTTAAAGTTTTGTAACAGGAAATTTATAAAAATGACTACTGGGCTGGGGATACCATCGGGGACGAAACGTCCACCAGCCGTGGCATAGTAGAGGTAGTACTTCTGTAAACATCTACATAAAATTATTGTACAAGACAGTAGTTTCAAATCTCGTAAATCGATTACAAAGAGACAAATCAAAGTAATAAATAAGAACTGAAGGAATTGCATGAACACCAAAAGATATGAGAACGGATGTGTCGACAGGGTACGCGTCTACTACTATGTAATCATCGCCCACCGTGTAAATCAGCTCTCTGCTAAAATACTACAATAAGGATCGGGACAAAATCGGTAAAATTACAGATCACATCACTATACTGGTATCTGAAGATCAAAGTCCCCAAAATCAAGTCGCTAGTGAGTTGAAACACAGATACATTGGTCGTCAAAATTTTGTCTTTTAGTCTCGGTTTCAATCGGTTTTCCTCTAAACTATGTTTTTATAGTTTTTGATCAGTTAGCGACACACCCCTATTACCATGTATTCACAACACTTCGACGAATTTGATTTACATGAACAGCAGTAAAGTATTTTCTTATCAAATGCTGTCCTTACTACTTTTTTTTATCTTTGGTTAAATGTTTGATTCCAATATAATTACATCACATGTATTTTTCATTACAATACGTTATTTTGATTGGCTAACAGCAATATTATGCTATTCTGACATTAACCTTCTTTTTGTTTTATTGGGGTATAAAAGCGTTGAGCGTGTTTCATTCAAAATTTACTTCGATGAACGCTTTTACACCCTAATAAATTTACAAAAAGATGTAATCAATTCTTCAATAAAATGTAAATATCGAGCATATCTACGAAGCAAGTTCTAAAAACTTACTAATCGATTATACGTTTCAAAATTTAGCTTTGTTTTTAACCTTATCAATGCATTTGTCAAGGAGGAAAGACAAGTGAAGTGTCTGGAAACATTCAACTTTTGAAAGAATCATCATACAAATGTACGTATGTTGCATGACTGTTGTGGATATTTTAAAATATGCTTGGCCTTTTTAGTTCTTCATATTCAAATCTACAGCAACTTTAACTAGAAGTTCTTTAAGTATCAGTGTTCTTTTATGATATGTAAAAAAATCTAAATAAATGAATCTAAACATGTACTAGCATATAGAATTCGTTGTGTTGACAATACTTAGAAGAATTCTTATGTTGTACTGTTATACCACTGTCCCAGGTTACGGGAGGGTTGGGATCCCGCTAACATGTTTAACCCCGCCACATTATGTATGTATGTGCCTAATCCAAGTCTTTTATAGCTGACTATGCGGTATGGGCTTTGCTCATTGTTGAAAGCCGTACGGTGACCTATAGTTGATAATTTTTGTGTCATTTTGGTCTCTTGTGTACAGTTGTCTCATTAGCAATCATACCACATCTTCTTTTTTATATTCATTACTCTGCTGGAGCCTCTTGTGTGCACACCAATTAATTAAGTCTGTAGAATTTATACATGCAAGAGTGTTATACGTATTAAAAAAGTAATGTCAACGTTGATGTTAGAAAGGATAAAATCATCAAAACTGTCATACTTTTAGTTTAAATCGTTAAAGTTCTATAAAAGCCACCTTGCTTCGTTTTAAACTAAAAAAATAAAATAACAAAAATGCCGAACACTGAAGAAAATTCGAAACGGAAAGTCCATAAGCAAATATCAAACTCAAAGCTCAAACAGATCAAACGAATAAAAGATTTGAAATAAATTGAATTGCAATATCTGTCTTGATATTTTATTTGAATATATAATTTTGTCAATTCCGCGAACATTTTTCAAACATACTCTGTACTTGTCAAATACTGCATTATTAAAATACATGGTAAATATTGTTGCGAGCACTAAAATGAAATACTTACCTTATTACAGAAAAACAAGTAGATTTCGCTTACAATCATGACTCGAACGTCAAATCTCGCATGGATAAATATATGTATATGTTTGATTCCATAATGCAATGATGACCAAATTATTATTTTGTGTGCATTCGAACGGGAAATACAAAGCAGTAAAATACTGTGTAACTATTGATTCCGTCAGGTTGATTAGGAACATGCCTAAAGTAGATCACTGATATCAAATAGTGAATAAATGAGAACTAATTTGAACAATGCATGTTTTCTTTTCAAATTTGATTAGTCAAAATGACATTAGATATAAAGCAGTGAACCTATACTTAAACAAATGAATTTATAGTAGCGACACGAAGAATTATCATTTAACAAAGTATTGTTTTCATGACTATATAGTTTCTTTTACACATCATATAAGTTATACATATAGATATAAGTTGTTTTAAATTGCTGCTATAAATCGAAATTCTGATATCTGAAGAGGGTTCATTTTTCCATGGCTAGTTAAAATGTCTAAACATCATTTCTAAGATGTTTTATGTTATTATGCGTGGTCTGCGTCCATATGTTTTAACTATTTTCTCCCAAATAATGTTAGATTAAAATTCACGAGAACCATATATTTATTTAATGTGTATAACATCTGTATGTGAAGTTAGCAATAAGTCCAATATTCGTTCATTGTTATTCAAAAACTAATAGTTTTCAAAGGTACCAGGCTTATAATTTGTGACGCTAGACGCGCGTTTCGTCTACACAAGACTCATCAGTGACGTTCAGATCAAAATAGTTAGAAGGCCAAACAAGTATAAAGTTAAAGAGCATCGAGGACCCTAAATTCCAAAAAGTAGTGCCAAATACGGCTAAGGTAATCTAAGCCCGAGATAAGAACATCCTTAGTACTTCGAATAATTCATACTTTGGAAACCAGCATTCAGAATATTTTTGTTTTGTAATCTGCTTGACCAAAATGTTTTTTCTTTATCAAATTAGGGATCAGAATTTTTTTTTTAGAAAAAAACATACCCCCCTCCTGGAAGTTAAATGGTCGTTCCCTAATGGTTGATATCCATGATCAAGGTTAACATTTCGTGTTCAATATATAAAAAAAGTAGATGTGGTATGATTGGCAATGAGACAACTCTCCACAATAGACCAAATAACACAGAAATTTACAGCTACAGATCACCATACGGCCTTCAACAATAAGCAAAACACATACTGCATAATCAGCTATAAAAGGCCCCGAATCACAAATGTAAAACAATTCAAACGAGAAAAACAATTGTAACACAAGTCCGTATATCTAGTAACATAAGTAATAGGTCAACTATATTTGCTAATATGGCCACATGACTATTACGTGACCTTGAACTTATTTTATTGATTAATTGTTAAATAAGAAGTTTTTATTTTTTTGATTGGTTTTAATGATTGTAATGTGTTCATGTCCGTTTGGCAGGTTTCTTTAGACCTTGACTTTTTAATGGTTCCATGAACAATGTTAAGTTTATGCTATACTTATATTAAATTCTTTATCTTACGGATCTTCAAAATAGATTCAATTACGATCATTCAAGCAGTCGCTACATGTCAGTGCGTACACTTTAGTATAAATAATATATTTGTATATAGTATTTATTTTTGTTGAAAAAACGAAAGTGAAGTTGTTTTATAATAACAGTCATATTTATGTATTTATGTTGAATTTCTGTCGATGTACAATGTTAAGATCCGTGTTAGCGTTGTTTTATTTTTTATAAATTTTTGGTTTCAAAACAAAACAAAACCGGAAGATATACATAGACACAACCGGGTGATTGTGTAGTAAACAACATTGACCAAACCGGCCTCTTTCATTTTGACATGACCCATTTCTTTCATTTCATACACAGAAATACAAGTATTGAGGTGCTCAAAGTGGCTAGTTTTGCAATCTCCGTGTCAATTTCTTTCTTTTCATACCTTTCTTTCTGTATAATGTGATCAATTTAACGAGATATTAAACAAGACAATAACAATCAAAACCAAGGAGTAAACAAAGACTCACAAAACCAAAGGACATTTACATCAGCAGCTATAAATAATAAAAAAGAAACAACACGAACTCCACTAAACAAATTCGAGGCAAAGTTCACTCAATTCGTCATTTTGACATGCATTTTTACTTATTTCTCCGTTGATCTAGAACGGTTGTAGAAAATATTACACCTCACCATATAAAAGTTATAAATGTATACCTTTTCTTCGATATCATAAAAATAAAACATAAATAAACAGAAACCTACCTTTTCTCTGACTATTAATGTTTCGTCACCGGATATTAGATACCATCGAGTCCAAACATTTTTTGCCGGTGTAGTTTAGATACAGTGATTTCATCAACATAAAATCAAAGAGTTATGCCGCTTCGTATATAGTAGTACCGCCAAGTTTGCAAAAACAAAAGTTAAATCAAAAGAAGCATTTTAAGGCGTAATTGCTGCACGTTTATATTACTCTAACCAAGCCAAAGACTTTCCACAAAAACTCAATGGGTGGTCATATCTAAGCAAGTTATGAGTTTGATAATAAAACAACAATGGTAAAACACATTATATTTTTTTGCTCGCATTTAAACGGAAATCCTTTATGCAACATACATCTGTTTCTTTTTGGTAGATTTAAACTAGTGCGCAAAACTTTCTAAGACCGTGCTTACGAATTTTAATGATATGTTCACGAATTTCAACCACGAGCGCACTTTACAGAGGGAAAAAAATATCATCTACAATTTTATGGAAAACGAATCTATAAGATTGTGAATCTCTACGTAATCAAGTTAAATTGCCTACAATTGTATAACATTCGAAATGCATTATATGTCTTTTAACCCTACACGTTGTATATATAATTAAATATTATATACGCCAATTTGACACCTTAATTTCAAGATACAGTAGACTTATTGCTTTCTAATACATGTATGTATAAGAAAAATTCTATCAACATTTTTCAAAAGTACAAAAGAGAACCACTAACGAGGTGCGTGTCTGGACAAAGACACATATGACCTTATTTGTTTACATTGATGAAAATTTATAAACAAAGATGTTGATTATAACATTCCTTCCTGAATCGTTATTCTATTTTTTTATACCATTTATTATTTTTAACAAGTCTTACCAATTTTGAGTATTGTTATTTCTCTCCAATTTCACACCAATTTTGTACAGTTTCAAAGAGAATCGTACATTTATGTTTGGTTCGCGTAGAAATAGATTTAAACTCTTACTTTTACTTGACATTTGACTCAGTCGAACCTGACCATTCACTCAAAGTGTATTTTGAACTATAACTCCAACCTAGTCTCGAAGCCTTATACGAACTGCAACTCGAATTTTATCTTGAAATCTGACTGGAACTTCAACACATAATCGAACTCGATGGCTACACAGGCAAAATTTGCTCACATGAATTTCACATAAATCTCACATGAAATTCACCTCAAACGAGCTTATACATGAAACTGACGTGAAAATTGTCATTTGAAATTCACGTGAATTGAGATTCATGTGAAATTTTCACATGAATTTCACAGGAACTTTTCCAAAAAAAAAAATTGGTACTTTTCATGATTTTAATCAGAATTAAAAAATTAAATGTTATTTGAATTAAGTTACTTTACAAATTCACCTGAATTTTCACATGAAAAAAATTCATGTGATTTTCATGTGAAATTCATATAAGTTTCACATGAAACTCACATAAAACTCAAATGAACTGATTCCACGTGAGTTTCACGTATAAGCTCCTTTGAGGTGAAATTCATGTGAATTTCACGTGAGATTCACATGAATTTAAATTCACGTGAAATTTATGTGAACGAAAGGAGTAGGGACATTAAGGCCTAGTTTTGGCCCAAGAAAATAGAATGTTTGATAACCATTTCAAATTGGCACATAATGTTGAGAAATGCATAGGGTCAAGAAATATAAATGAAAAAAATAAAGATTTTTATCTGATGACGTCACAATTATGTCATAATATGTACTGTTTTCACAAAAACGATGAAACATACAGAATTTATGCAGTTTTCTGTCTTTATTTCCGTTGTGGAAACATCCTGCGCAGCCGAGAAACAACAAACTAATTTAACAGAAGCTTTATTGCAACTATTGGCATAATCTCACCAAATATAAAGTTGTTTCTTGGATGCGCACATACTTTTTCAATCTAAAATATACCTAAAATTTGACGAAAAAACAAGGAAAATCACGAAATTTAACAAAATATGCAAATTAGGTCATGATTTGTTGCCATGGTAACTTGTTCGATGTCAAATTTGTTTTGTTTTCCATAGTACCTTATACATTTACAAGTTTTCAGTAATTTGAGAATATGTATGATAACTGTGAGAGTCGTGAAAATCATCAATTTATATATAGTCGTGCGCACGAATAAGAAAGGTGTGCGCACCAGATTGAAAGTCATGCATAAATATCTTTGATTTTTTTTTCTACAGTTTTTGAATGTCGTGAGCAAGTGTGATGAAATGGTGCGTACCAGTTTAAATTTGGTAACTAGAAATCTGGTTTTATCGGATCATTTATGATCGCTATGAAGCAGTTCGCTAAAAGAGATGTCACCATACCTTAGCACTGCATGCATTCCATATCCAGCTATTGTTTCACTTTAACGTGTAAAGATATAAAGTGTTGGTTGAATAATTTCTAAAATCCACATTGTTCTTCGTTTTCAATATCATCATTGCTGGCTTGGGATTTTCCTGTGTCTTCTATTTTCTATTGAAACCAATAGCCCACTTAATTTCGATATTAAGAGGCTCAAACATGGTTATGATTTATATCTTTGTTTATGTTTATCAAATAACCACACGTTAATAATAAGAGACCTGCACATTTATAGACGGTTAAATAAAAAAAAGGTATAAACTTTTGTATATCTCACTATATCATTGATGTAAACCTGATGTTGTGCGTTTACGCTGGGACTCTTGCGTTTCATACATATTCGTTTTCCAGTAGAGGTCCAACTGCACCGTTTGAAGTCCTTATACAGTTTTTTTTCGATGTTATAACCCAAAAGCGTGACGTGTACGAAGTCTCATGATGTTCCTGGTCCAAGGACTATGATATTTTTGTTACAGATGATTTAACATAAACAAGAGACACACCCTGTTTTGTGTC